TAGCACAGACCTGACACTTCCCTGCTGTGGACAGGCAATGAATTCCAGCTCTGAGTTCTACCACATACTATTTTAGCTCCAGAAATTTATTTCCCAGCCCAGTAGTCAAAATCAAAGAATGCACTTTATTCTACAGTAGCTAGACTGTGTCCACATACAAATCTCTTCCCCTACTGACCCTCTCATTCTAACCAATAGGTTCCTTTGGCAACCAATCTTCTAAGTTTCTACTATCTCTCACCTGTATAGACATTAGCCAATTATGCCTGACCAGAACCATTTCCAAATTCTGACTGTCCTTGACATTATTTAAACAGCAATGTTTCAAAATAACATTACACTGTGATTTCCTCACATTTTTAGACTTTTTTGCAAACTATTTTTAGAATAAGGATACATAAACAAATTATCATATAATACTAAATGCATGTTTTCTCAGTTTTACAAAAAAAAAAAAAAAGCTGAAAAACTCTAATCACTCATTCAGTCAAAATATTCTGCAAAAGAACTACAAATGCACAAAAGAAAATTATTTTCCAGTGTAACTTTTGGTCCTACATCTTCCTACTATTTTAGAGTCATACCACATGGGGGATTATTTCCTAATGTTCATTTTACAAATTGCTTAACTAACGATATGCTGTCCAGCCTTCCATTTAGTATACCTTATCTTCTCTCTACACACTGTGATTTCTTTGAAGGAAAATTAACTAAATATTTCAGCAGTTTAACTAGAGGGAAGTAAAGAATTAAGATTGTAGATACAAAGGTGCTGTAATTGTGTTTTAATCAGCTTATTAAATACAACATGAACATGTATCAATCAACTGACATTTAATTTCATGGTCTATGATTCAAAACTTTTTAAAAGCATAACAGTACAAAGTTATCAGCAATTACTTAACAATTCCTTTCCAATTTTGTTTTAACTCATAAAACATTTAAATACTGTATGACAATTGTTACATGTTCTTATAGACTGGAAGAAGATATAATTAGAAATTTTATTAAGATACATATTTTGAAATTTACCTTTTCTTGCAGGATATTACTAACTCAGTCCAAAAGGAAAAAAATATATATCTAAAAACACAGCAACATAAATTCTTGAAGTTAGGGGTTCTAAATATAGGAATGTTTTAAAAATCTATTTCAAATATTTCTATCCCCAAGACAAAAATCCACTGATGAAACAAACTACTGAGCTAAAGCTTGTTTTAAATTGTTGCTGCTGAAAATGAAAACAAATCTCTATAAATCTCATTTAGAAAGTAAATTGCCTAATTGCACATTCATTTAGGAGTATTATACAAAGATTTCCCATTACAGAGTCACATTCTGACTTGGAATGGAAGTACGCATACTTTTCTCTTTTCCCTACTGAAAGAGTGGTTTGCATGATCTGAATGACTCAGTTTTTCACAGAATAATTTAGTTTATCAATATTCTACTTTTGTTAAAGAATAATGAAAAGTATTAAGTCAGCAGGTTCTTTTCTCTAACATTTTGCTTGATAGCAAAAATTTCTTTAGTTTTAAAAGGTCTGTTTCTGACCATTATTTTTTCCTTAAGTGGAAAAGGGCATGAGGGCAAGGGTCATTAACATCTTTTACTAAGACAAAAAGATTCAACTGTGGTTGCTAGGATACGAACAGACAGATTCATTTATTGCAGTCAAGAATAGTTATTAGGGATGTCTTCTCACAAAACATATTAACTATAGCAGGAACCCTAATGCAAACAAACAAAAAAATCTAAAAGGCAGGGGCAATCCCTGCCCTCAAAGAGTTTAATACTGTCTGTTGTTAGTACCGTATGTAAAACTACAAAGCACATTTTAAATAAGATTTTTTTAAGGAACTGAAGTAGACATCAAGAAGGAAGAAAGATAAAGAAAAGCCTAGGCCAAGGAATAAGTCAAATATTTCATCCTAGTCTAAAAAGTCAGATTCATTAGTTCACTAACTTATTTAACTGAACCTGAATGACTTAATACTATGTGTCAATTACTGTTCTAGGCATTCCTGACATGGTGGTTAATAAGACAAAGTTCTAGCCCTTACTGGGCTTACATTCTAGTGAGGAGACTACGGAGAAGTGCCGTAAATGTTTACATCTTTGCATGCGTGCATATGGGTGTGTTTTCCTACAATGTGAGCATGTGATGGAGGTGCATGGAAACAGGTCAGAGAAAGCCTTACATATTTGGCAACTACTAGATGCCAAGTGTTGGGCTAGGCAATGAGGATAGAGTTTAATAGGAGACACATGTTCTCTGCCACTTGAATTTACTCTAGTAGGAGATCCACATAAACTGACAGGGAAGTTTTCTGGCTTACTTACTGCCTGTGTAACCTTAGCAGGTTGGTAACACCTTCATTGTGAATACTGGCACTAACCCTATTACAATCATTAAATGTTTATAAAATATTTGGCACCCTGCCTGGCAAACCATAGATTTTACTATTTCAGTTAAGTGCCCATAACAAGAAATTAGATTGATAGAAATTAAGGATGGCAGAAAAGGGGAGAGGATAATAAAGGTCTGAAAAGAAAAAAATCAAAAAGGAGAAGTGAGGAGAAGTGAGAAGTGAGCTTCATATGAAGAGGACTTCCAAGACACATTTAGAAGTTTATTTATAAACCTAAAAGGAAGATTATACAATGGAATCACATCACACACCCAATTAAGTGACAAGAATTAAACTATACGTGATTGGCAAAGACAGGTGAGAACACTTTAAGTACTACAAGTGGCTCTGCCACTATTTCACTCAATAAGTGACTATTCCAGACTGAATATGAGATTCATAGAAAAAAAAATCTGTAGTCCCACAGGCAGTCTCAGATCCCACCTGTGAAGTGTGAACACCTTACCACACCAAGAATGAGTCTAGTAATCAAAGATATGTTTTTCACAGGCATCCCCTAATGCAAATGTACTAATTAATCTGGTATTCAAGCGAATAAATAACAAAAAGAATTTAGACTAGATGTGGTTTTTATCACCTTTTATACTTAGTTTATAACTAACCCCTGCTTCAGATGTTATTCTACCTGTATAATCTCCATTTTACAGATGCACAAATAAATGTTCTCAAGGACAGGGCACCACACAGCAATGCTCAGATACCTGCTTCATTCTGCCTGGTTCCAAATCCCTGAAGTCTTTCCATGATGCCCAGCCATCCCTGAGCTTGGGATTTGAAAGGTACAGACTAAGATAAAGGAGGAAGATGATCCAAAATACAAGTATATGTCAGAAAAACTTAGACTAACAGGTATTTATAGGAAAAGATAAAGACATTAAGATCAAAGGCAGAGAAACCAAGTCGGAAGCTGATGTGTAACAACTACTCAACACAAATTTCCAGAACAATGTTGATTTCATATATTTTATATCTCTGTGAATATTAAATACTGAAGTATTCTGGAAATTCAAACATTTCGATATCCAAACTCTATCTCCCAGATTACGTTTCACACCCCAAACAGCATACACACAAAAAACACTTAGCTAAATCAAGTGTCCAGACCTACAGTAACAAGTTCTATTGTCATAGAAAGAAATGAATGCCAATAAATTCATGTGAAAGAACATAAGTAGGGCCGGCCCGGTGGCGCACTGGATAGTGCGCCGCTTGGGAAGCGTGGCGGCGCTCCCGCCGGAGGGTTCGGATCCCACATACAGACCGGTTCCCGCTCACTGGCTGAGCGAGGCGCGGGAGCAACACTGAGGGTTGCGATCCGTTGCCGGACACGGAAAAAGACAAACGACACAAAAAAAAAAAAAGAACATAAGTAGGGCCGGCCCGGTGGCGCACTGGATAGTGCGCCGCTTGGGAAGCGTGGCGGCGCTCCCGCCGGAGGGTTCGGATCCCACATACAGACCGGTTCCCGCTCACTGGCTGAGCGAGGCGCGGGAGCAACACTGAGGGTTGCGATCCGTTGCCGGACACGGAAAAAGACAAAAGACACACACACACAAAAAAAAAAAAAGAACATAAGTAGAAGATAAATGAATGTTAGAAGTAAAAAAGAAAACCCTACAAAATACTAGGTGCATAGGGCCTCTGACGGTAATGACAAAATTGAGACATTGAGAAAAGTATGAGAGTTTTTGAAGTACCCTTGTAACAAACAGAAGCCTAATTAAGTCCTTCAAAAGAAGCCTTTGGAAATACATTCCAAAAAAAAAATGCTGCCACTAAATTCACTAGGCCTTCACTCTGAGCCTGTGTACTCACACTAACAAATATGTACATCAAATCGTGTGACCTGTTATAACTGTAGCAGTTTCTCCTTACCTCAGAGGGAAAAAAATTCTCTGGCCCCAATAAATAAAAGCCATCATATGAACTAACAATGATAATAATAATGATGATAGCAGCTACTTTTGTGCCATACACAATTCCTTTACATTTCACCCTACGAATTCCTTTACATTTCACCTATTATCCTGACTTTACCAGGGAAAAAACTTAGTCTCAAAGGTATTAAGTAACTTGACTGAAGTCATCTAACACTGATAGATAGGGAGGGCTGGGACTCACACCTATGTCTGCCTGATAGTAATAAATGTCAAGGCTCTTATACCATTTTATATTGTTTATCAATTTTAAAGATTCAAAATTTCCCATGAGCAGTCTGCGTTTTTTAAAGTAGAGTTTATGGGTACAAAATAATTCTCTCATGCAATATTTTACAATAAGTAACTAAAATGAGCAATCAGTACCTTAAATGTATACAACTTTTCAGCCTCAAAAGCCCCCTCTTGTATTTATTACTATTTTATTCTGCACAAGTACTATCTTTGAATAGCATGTCAATTGTTAAAATGAGAACATTAAAATATGAGACATAAAAGGAATATGTTACTGCTAAAAGTCAAAGAATAATGTCTCAAAAATTTGAGAAGTAGGCTCTACCAGATTCTCATTAAAAGACTCTGAGCTTAAAGAAGCTTGATAATCTCTAGTTTTTTGAAGTGTAAATTTTACCTGGGTCATTATGGGAATGAGGCACCACAAAGACTTGAAGGGGCTCAGTGTCCCATTCATTAGTTGCATACGAAATGGGAAATCCTTGCTTCCAAACTCCACCATCTGGATTGTCAAAAGGAATCAGACTGTAAACATCCAACATCTAAAAATATTAAAAAAATAAAAACAAAATAAAGTTTAACCATTATTAATTTAAACTTAATGTTCATAAATATTTGCTCACAATTACTCACTGCTGTATGCTGCCTATATATTTTATAAAATAAAACTATTTCTGTAGACATTAATTAAAGAGTTTAAGGCAGAAAATATTTTAACATTCAAAGGCTTGAGATGCTACTTGTGCTAAATAACTATGCTGATAAATAATCCCCTCTCCCATCTGCTTCTAATAAAAAATAATTTCATTCAATTCGTTCTTCTTCACTTTACTTCTAATACAATTTAACAGAAATTTATAGGAACAGATCAATGGACAAAAATACTTCTGATGAAATTCGATTATAACCAAATATTTCAGCATTTTCAAATACAATATTAATAAATATATATTTTTAACATCTATGACAGAATGAAAATTCATACATAGCTATTCTTCCATCTGTAGCATATCATATAGCATATTTTATACAGCAAACCCTTGAACAACATGGGTTTGAATGGCACAGGTTCACTTACACGCAGATTTTTTTCAATTGGAAAATTTTTGGTCAGGTATGTTATGAATGCATAATGTATCTAACTAAACAGGTAGCCTACCTAAGAGTAAGGTATTAGTAGTTAAATACTTAACTACTACTTCCCCACTCCTAACAAGCTTGGATTGCACAGTGAGGTACATAAGTAGTTAAGTAGTATTATACTGCAGAGGTTTTCTAGATTTCCAATGCAGTATTCCTTTGAACTAATAATCAATTTGAACACATACATACATACACACACACACACACACAATTGCAAAAAAGAAAACCTAAAGCTTTACTTTTATTATTCCTACTTTCTATAATACTAAATGTGACAAAGAACACAACCAATCTTTTGTAAAATTTAAATTAGGCTACAATTAATTAGGCTGCAAAAATACATCCTAATTAATACATAAATGGGTTACAAACAATTTTTAAATACCAAACAATTTATATAAAAGAGAGTACAAGTATTTTAAGGCGATAACATATCTCTTGCTTTGGAATTTATGACTTTAACAAATAAAATAAAACCCTCCCAAGGATAAGCCAACAAATCTTTGGGAACCAGCCGGGCAAGAGGATGCATCAGCAGTCTCTGCTATTCCTTTGCTGCTCTCCCAGTACCTTCCTGCGTCACTCTGCCTGCCTTGTACGGTTGCTCTACAACTCCTTTCTGTCCAGCCCAGATTTAGACCACAAAAAAAAAGAAAATTTTTTTTGCAGTTCCCTTAGCATGGATGACAAGGCTAGGTATTTAAGAAGTACTCCATAAGAACCTAAATAAAGTCAAGCCTCACAGAAACAGACACCTCTGCAAAACACAAGATTCTGAATCTCACAGAATTCTCATCAGCTAGTGTGTGGCTATGTGAATCTGGCCACACACTAGCTGATGAGGTTGCAGGTGCAAAACCTGGCTAGCTCCACTGTTCCCAGTTTCCAGCTTGGCCTGTGAACCATGGTCTTGAGATCATATCATCTTCTCTGACCTCAGGAATTACTGAAAATGCCTACTCTAAAACAAGACCGGAAGCCAGCTGATTTTCTCCTACTTTAAAATATTTACCCCTTAGGTCCTCTCATCAAGTTACAGTTTCTGGTTTAAGGCACAAGGTTAAAGATAGTAAACACAGCCCTCTGCTAATTTGCAGAACAGAGCCAGTACGAGTAACATACTCTGAGTTTAAGAAAGACAGAAGTCCTTTCTGACCCTGGTTTTCAACTCTGTTACCCTCTAGAACAGTGCTGTCCAAGAGAAATATAATGCAAGCCAAATATGTAATTTTTAATTTTCTAGTAAAACAAAGCAGGAAAAATTAATTTTAGTGATATATTTCATTTAACCCACTACATCAAAGGGTACAAAAGTAATTTCTGTTAACGGGTATGCCCCCAGTATGAATCTGACCCTCACATCATGGGCAGGAGGGGGGACAACCAGCTTTGTATCTCATGAATATTTGTAATAAATAAATAATAATAATAATAATAAATAAAATATCATTATCTCAATATGTAATTAATATAAAATGAATTAAGATATTTCACATACTAAGTCTGAAACACTGTATTAAGATATTTCACATACTAAGTCTGAAACACTGTGTATGTATGTTATACTCAGAGCACATCTCAAGCCAAACTGGCCACATTTCAAGTGCTCAGTAGCCACATGTGGACGATAGTTTCTATACTGGAAAGCACAGTTCTAGAATATTTCCCTTCTCCCTCACAAAAGTATATTCAGCAAAAAAATCTAACCCAGGGCCGGCCCGGTGGCGCACTGGATAGTGCGCCGCTTGGGAAGCGTGGCGGCGCTCCCGCCCGAGGGTTCGGATCCCCCATGCAGACCGGTTCCCGCTCGCTGGCTGAGCGAGGCGCGGGAGCAACGCCGAGGGTTGCAGTCCCATTGCCGGTCCCCGGTCCGGGCCGGGGGCAACACTGGGGGTTGGGGTCCATTGCCGGGACCGGAAAAAAAAAAAAAAAAAAAAAAAAAAAAAAAAAAAAAAATCTAACCCTACGTTGTTGAAACCTATAACATATACATAGTAAGAGTAAGGCTTTCCTTACATTCCCCAAAGGAAGATTAGAAAATCTCTTTGGCAAAACCTAAACCTCTAAAGATTTTCAACTATTACAAAAAATATGTCCTGAAAATCATACAAAAAGGCCATAGTCACAGAAGTATACAATAGTAAGAAAAACTAAGAACACAGAATTATGGAATTTTATCACTAAAAAGAACATTAATGATCATGTGACTAACCAAATCACTTTACAAAAAGAAAAACTAGAATGCAGAGAGTTTAAGCAACTTACCAAGTTAGAAGAGATACCAGATCAAATCCCAAAAAAAAAAAAAAAAAAAAAAAACCCAGTGACTATTAACAAATGTATACGTTACCTGCACATCTGAATTCTGACCACCACTTTGCGAAGCAAAGAGACAGTCTTTAGCGTCAACTGGGAGGGATATCTGAATTCTGACCACCACTTTGCGAAGCAAAGAGACAGTCTTTAGCGTCAACTGGGAGGGATAATCGCGATGGCAGAAGATGTGAGCCAGCACCTGGGCTGAAATTGCCTTGTGAACTTTTCGGACCATCTTCCACAGACTCACTCAAATTGATGACTGAGTCTCTAATATTTGAGATGATTTCATTATTCTCAGCTAGCAAACGCTCCAAATGGTCTATTTTTTCTTGCAACATTGAGAGCTGGCCCTACAATAAAGAAGAAAAAGGCAGCTATATGAAACACTAATATAGCTCTGCTGAGGCACACACATTTTTTTTTTAATTATGCGGCTACCCAAGAGGGTAGCCACTTACCCTTCACTTTCCACTTTTATAAGAGGGATTGCAGAAAACGTGAACAGCTGGTAGGGTTGAAACGCCAATTTACAGCAGAAAATCTTCTCCATGACTGCAATCTTTGTTTAATCATATTGTAAAATGTGCAACAGAAGGACCATAAATATTTTGGGATATATTTCCTATTCCCCCCAAATCAAGTCCTAAGAGATCTTTGGGTCTCTGGAACCACTAAGTACAACAGAATATTCAGGTATGAAATTTTAAATTTAAGTATAATTAATTCAAGTTACTCACAACAAAGTATGAACCTGAAAAAGATCTCATCTCAATCCATTAACACTAGTGAACAATCCTAAGTAAGAATTCTCATCTACAGAAAAAAATCAGTCAACTCTTACTAATCAGCCTAAGCATGAACATCCCCCAAGTAACCACACCGTTAAGTCATTCAGACTGTGTTCATGATACTGTATGACTTTTATTTTTAATTGGTCCTCACATTAACAGCCTTGCTGTCTCTGTAACATAAACCTTATTATACAGAATAATACCTCAGCTTATAAGAGCAAGGACAATCTTTGCCTTATTCACCCCCACATCCTGATTCCAAATACAAAGTAGATACTCATACTACTTGTCAAATGGCCCTTCTGGAACGCAACAATAATTCTTTGGTGAACACCCACTGTATCAGGCATAATGCTATATGCTGGGAAGACATATACGCATAAGATATGGGTCCCTGTCTTTGAATACGCAGGTGACATTTTAAATAACAGCCTACTCCCATACCTCAAAAAGTCCACATTAAGATTTAAAGAAATAACTATATGAATGGACACCCATCACCTGGAAGTAACAGGAAGGTGGAGGTAGAAAGGAAAGAAAGAAGAAGGGAAAAGGAAAAAAAGAGAAGAACACCTAAATGTCCAAAAATAGGAGATTGGTCAAATGGTAGGTATAGATCATGGAATGGTCTTCAGCCACTGAAAATTTAGAAATAAAAATTTTTTTAAATAAAAACATAAGGAAAGGCATTTTCAGGAGATAAAGTGGAGAATAAGCAGCTTAAAAATAGTATGGATAAAAATTTAGTATGTATGACATGATACATTTTTGAAAAAAATATATGGAGGACAATTTATCAAGATGGTTAAAGACTAGCTATGAACATTTACATTCTTCTTTAGCCTGTTATGAATATTTGTTAATTTTGTAATGGGGGTTGAAACATGTAAAGATTATACTTACAGGTTATTGGTCAGTTCGACAAGGGGAAGGGGAGAAGTCAACAGACAGATATACCAAGAAGTTCAACCATTTGAACACACTACACCAGAATTGACAGAAGTTTGAAGAGACCAGGGAAGAAATGTCGGAATAAGGAAAAATGTAGCCAAAATTAGCAGCAAATTATTGGGGGAGTGAGGCGGGAGGGCCTAGGTATGCACAGCCAAAGCCCTAATATTGGAGAGGCAGGAAGCACAAGACGCCAGACAGGCATGTACCTCCACAGATCTGAAAGACACCCTCAGAGGCCTCTCTACTTAGAGGCATCTGACAGAAATAGCTCCCTACACATCAAAACGGTAGGGCTTTAAGGCAACTGCCACCTTTAGGGTGGGGTGGTATGTCATCACAAGGTAGAACTCTGAGCCTGTTCATCAGCATGCACAGAGACAGGAAGTGCAAAGTTTTAGCACAGATCTCACCCTGCAAGACAAGCCCCACTTCCCCTAGTGAAAAGCAACAGAGAGAGTATGCACCAGTTTACAACTGGAAATGGCAAAACAATGAAAACTTGAGAGATCAGGGCTCAAACAGAAAAGCTAGCTGAACCATGTAAATTCCAGATCAGCAAATCTGTTGAGCAGTATTATACTATAAACCCTTCTTTGTAAGCACACACCAACATTGGTTATGAGTAGTTTCCCGTAGAAAGAACAAAAGGGGTCCCCTGGCATAACCCAAAGTTCAACCCGAAGAAGCTAAAAATATTTGAGTCACGTATACAGCTGACTAATCTGTTTATATTCTCCTAAACAGACATGCTATCAAAGGCTGTCTGAAATAAGGAAAAAAAGCTTTTCTTCACTCATTATCACACCACCATAGACTGCAGCTATTTGAAATCACTCCTGATAGATTCTGTTGAATATTTCCAATACTAAAGACACAAATAGACTTTAGTGATGCTTGCAATTTCTACTGCAGCAAGTAACAGTAAATCAAGTTCTTATTCCAAGCAGAATTAGAACATGTTGACTCGTCTTGCCTATCATAAAGCTATACACCTCCATAAAATAAAACCTCAGCTTAGTTTAAAATGCCATCATCTCAGAGCTTTTAAAGATGCCACACATTTTCTCTTATACTCACAGTATTACATTATTAACATGGGAGCCCACACTTGTCCATATCTTTCTGAACTTTGAGGAAAAGATCATTTAATAGCTATGTATGCAGCAAAATTGCTTACAGCTCAAGAAGTACACACTGAGAAAGAAGAGGACTCTTCTCAGCATATTTTTACAACCTTGGTCCCATAACCCATGGGTGAGAGTATTATTCAAAATAAACATTACAGGAGACATTTAATGAAAAAGGATTCTACTGGCTTTATGACAACTTTCCATCTCATTGTAGTTTTAAAGATACAATTATTGATCAATATCTGGAATTCTGTACTGAATTAAGTGCATGGAGAAAATTTTGGCCTATGGATATGTCCACATAATGGTATAATAAAAATATTTTATAAAAATAAAAATAAATAAAACTGTACTATACAGTGGAATAAAGTCTCCCTCCAAACAGCTGAAATTCTTGAAACACACACACCTCATAAGCAAATTCTGTACACATGACAGAGAAGAGTGGTACGACCTTAAAAGGATGCACTCATAGTCTGCGTTAAAGAAACAGAAATCATAGATAATGTTTCAATTATGCTGACAAGCTAAAGAATACTGATAGTAATACTGAAAAAGACAATTTTCTGTAAGGCAAGAAAATCACTTGAGAGAAAACCACTTTATTCTTTGATTTGCTAATCAGTTACACAGGGAGGCCACAGTGTTTTACTGCTGAGGAGTAGGGAAGAAGGTCATGATATTTTATTTACTCTGCTTTTGGTGAAAGAGAATAACTGAGTAAAAAACCATGGATATCAAAGACTTTTGAGAGAGCAAATTTAGAGTCTATTACAAAGTAGAATAGGATTGGTACCCACTCAGCCCTATGAACAAAATCAGTTTGTATATACAGCTAAATCGGTAAATTTATTACATAACAATTTGCCCCAGTTAGGACACTAGCTGCTAAGGGTTGGAGTTGCCGTGATCACTCAAGAACAGCTAAATCTGCACATCTTCTCCTTCCTTCCTGTTGCAATTGGATAAATGTGTACCTTCCCCTGCCTCAAAGAGAAATCCTCTATTAGGCAACAATCCCACCTCTCAGAATGCTCAAAGGCTTTGTTCTTTGGTCAAACTCCCCTTCTAAAAGCAACTCACTCTCAGTAGATAACATATTCTATTAGATCAAATTATATGACACTCCTATTCTTGTAGGTCAAAAATAGTCAAATCACCAATTTCATTCGGTTCAACTTAATATTATATCCTATCTAAATTTAAAAAGTCAATCAAACTCCTGTGCTTGCCTTTTTTAGTCAAACCACCAATTTCATTCAGTTCAACTTAATATTATATCCTATCTAAATTTAAAAAGTCAATCAAACTCCTGTGCTTGCCTTATCCCCATGTGATGGTTGACTTGAAGTGTCAACTTGTAGATTAAGAGACACCCAGATAGCTCTCAGTGCTTCGGTAGGCATTAAGTCCATCCCTCTTCTGCTGAAAGGGAAACCCAGGAGGGTCTGGCATTTGACTAGAATGACTGAGCTGCCCAGGTGTGATGTGAGGGTATTTCCAGAGTAGACTGAAGTGTGAGTCAGTGGACTGAGTGGGGAAGATCTGCTCTCAACGTGGTGGGTACCATCCAATCAGCTGCGGTCACACATGGAACAAAAAAAAGGTGAAAGAAGGGTAAATTCTTGCTCTCTTTTCTGGAGCCAGGACACCCTTTTTCTCCTGCCCTTCGACATCAGAACTCCAGGTTCTCTGGCCGTTGGAACCCAGGACTCATACCAGTGGCCCCTCAGGCTCTGGGGTCTTTGGCCTTGGACTGAGAGTTACATCACCGGCTTCCTGGTTCTAAGGCTTTCAGACTTTGACTGAGCCATGCTGCTGACATCTCAGGTTCTCCATCTTGCAGATGGCCTATCACAGGACTTCTCAGCCTACACAATCAAGTGAGCCAATCCCCTAATAAATCCCTTCTCACCCCTTCCTCCCTCCCTTTCTCCCTCCCCCTCTTCTATACATACAGCTCACACGTACACACACGCAAGTACGTATATATAGAGAGAGAGATAGAGATACACACACACACACACACACACACACACACACACACACCAGCATGTACGAGAGTACTTTAAAGAGTTCATGGAATAATTATAGAGAGAGATAGAGATACACACACACACACACACACCAGCATGTACGAGAGTACTTTAAAGAGTTCATGGAATAATTAGTATTATCTTTTAATTCTATTTTTCCACAAACTGTCTGAAGTACTGTCATATATACACATACATATCTTTTCGCTCTGTCCCTCTGGAGAACTAAAACACCCCCCCTCCTTTCCAGGGCCCAACCCCCTTCATGGACATACAGAGATTATCAGGAGTGTGCACTCATTACGCCACCTTCCTTAGAAACTCCCATTCATTCATCTGCCTTTTCTAATCAGCATCTGCCCACCACTCCACCAAAATTGCCCTTGTGAAGTCCCCCAAGGCTCCCACAATTCAAGCCTAATGACAACCCTCTGCCCCT